AATGTTGAAAAGATATGGAGAGAGTGCACAGCCTTGTCTTGTCCCTGATTTCAGTGGGAATGATTTAAGTTTCTCTCCATTGAGTTTGATGTTGGCTATAGGCTTGCTGTATATCGCCTCTACTATGTTCAGGTATGTGCCTTATATCCCTGATCTCTCCAATACTTTAAACATGAATGGATGTTGGATTTTGTCAAATGCCTTTTCAGCATCTAAGGAGATTATCATGTGGTTTTTCTCCTTCAGTTTGTTTATGTGGTGGATCACATTGATGGATTTCCGTATATTGAACCATCCCTGCATGCCTGGGATGAAGCCTACTTGGTCATAGTAGATGATGTCTTTGATGTGTTCTTGGATTCAGTTTGCAAGTATTTTGTTGAGTTTTTTTGCATCAATGTTCATGAGGGAGATTGGCCTGAAATTCTCTTTCTTTGTTGGGTCTTTGTGAGGTTTAGGTACCAAGGTGACTGTGGGTTCATAGAATGAGTTTTGTAGTGTTCCTTCTGTTTCTATCTTGTGGAATAGTTTGAAGAGTATTGGTGTTAGCTCTTCTTTGAAGGTCTGGTAGAATTCTGCACTGAAACCATCTGGCCCTGGGCTTTTTTTACATGGTAGACTTTTGATGACAGCTTCTATTTCCTTAGGGGATATAGGATTATTCAATTGGTTTACTTGCTCTTGATTCAGCTTTGGCATGTAGAATCGGTCAAGAAAATTGTCCATTTCATTTAGATTTTCAAATTTTATGGCATATAGACTTTGGAAGTAAGAAAAATGCAAATAGATCCATACTTATCACCCTGCACAAAACTGAAGTCCAGGTGGATCAAAGACCTCAGCATAAAACCAGACACACTAAACCGCTTAGAAGAAAAAGTGGGGAATACCCTTGGACTCATCAGCACAGGAGACAACTTTCTGAACAGAACACCAACAGCACAGGCTCTAAGAGCAACAATCAATAAATGGGACCTCATGAAACTGAAAAGCTTCTGTAAAGCAAAGGACACTGTCCTCAGAACAAAACAACAGCCTACAGATTGGGAAAAGATCTTCACCAACCCTATATCTGACAGAGGGCTAATATCCAGTATATATAAAAAACTCAAGAAGTTAAACAGCAAAAAAAAAAAAAAAACAAAAAAAAAAACCCAAAAAAACAAAAAAAACCCAAACAAACAAGTAATCCAATTAAAAAATGTGGTACAGAGTTAAACAGAGAATTCTCTGCAGAGGAATATCGAATGGCAGAGAAGCACTTAAAGAAATGTTCAACGTCCTTAGTCATAAGGGAAATGCAAATCAAAACAACCCTGAGATTTCACCTTACACCCATCAGAATGGCTAAGATAAAAAACTCAAATGACCGCACATACTGGAGAGGATGTGGAGAAAGGGGAACCCTCCTTCACTCCTGGTGGGAATGTATACTTGTACAACCACTCTGGAAATCAATCTGGCGCTTCCTCAGACAACTAGGAATAGCTCTTTCTCAAAATCCAGCTATACCACTCCTATGCATATACCCAAAAGAGGCTCAAGCACACTATAAGGACATCTGCTCAACCATGTTTGTAGCAGCTTTATTTGTAATAGCCAGAAGTTGGAAACAACCCAGATGTCCCTCAATGAATGAATGGATATAGAAATTGTGGTACATCTACACAGTGGAATACTACTCAGCAATAAAAAACAAGGAAATCATGAAATTTGCAGGTAAATGGTGGGAACTGGAAAAGATCATCCTGAGTGAGGTATCCCAGAAGCAGAAAGACACATATGGTATATACTCACTCATATAGACATATAATATAGGATAAACCTACTAAAATCTGGACTCTTGCTAAAATGTTAAATCCCTATCCAGAAAGGCAAAGAGGCTGGACATCAGAAGAAGGAGAAAAGAGGGAACAAATCAGGAGCCTGCCACAGAGGACCTCTGAAAGGCTCTGGCCTGCAGACTATCAAAGCAGATGCTGAGACTTATGGCCAATATTTGGGCAGAATGCAGGGAATCTTATGAAAGGAGTGGGAAACAGTAGGATCTGGAGAAGACAGGAACTCCACAAGGAGAGCAACAGAACCAAAAAATCTGAACACAGGGGTCTTTCCTGAGACTGATACTCCAACCAAGAACCATGCATGGAGATAACCTAGGACCCCTGAACAGATGTCCTATGAACCCCAAGGCAGTTCAGTGTCCAAGTGGGTTCCATAGTAATAGGAACAGGGACTGTCTCTGACATTAACTGATTGGCCTGCTCTTTAATTACCTCCCCCTGAGGGGGAAGCAGCATTACCAGGCCATAGAAGAAGACAATGCAGTCACTCCTGATGAGACCTAATAGACTAGGATCAGAAGGAAGACTTCCTCTATCAGTGGTCTTGGGAAGGTGCATGCATGCAGAGGGGGGAGGAAGAGAGGGATTGGGATGGGAGGAGGGAAGGAGCCACAGGAGGGATACAAAGTGAATAAAGTGTAATTAAGAAAGAATTAAAAAACAAGTCTACCAGCACCCCCCCCCAAAAAAAAATATTAGGAAATCAAGCACCCTAGTGGTGAAAATCTCTCAACACTTTTGGACTCTTACTTATCCTCAAAGAATGTGCTTTAAGGATGACAGATATTAAGAGGATATATTTGATCTTGACCTTTTCCTTACATGGCAATGCTTCTTTATATCCTCTTTTAACTATTCAGAGCCTATGGAATCTGTGGTTTAGACAGAGCAAAATTTCTTTTAGCTATTTTTATTTTTTCATTTATTTCAACTTAAAATGCATTAAAGCCTACTAGGATCTTGGAAGTACATGAAAATTGGAGAGTAGGGGAAAAGGACATTATTTTAACTATCAATGTAAAATTTTGAGCACTGGGCAAAAACAAGGCATGCATACTCAACAACAAAGCATGCTGAGGATTAGGATGGCTGTGCATCAGATAATGGAATCTTTGGTTTACTGTGGAGTTTAAAGATGTCTTCCTGAAATGCCCGACAATGTACAGGTTGTTACAGACTAATCTGAGAGTTGCCTATATAAAGGGAAGAGTGCATTGTTGGTAGTGGTACAGTTGTGAGAGGGGAAAGCCTTGAGGTAGCAAAGGATGTGGACAATTTTAAAGGTTTGAAATAATAGTAAATGATTGATTCCTATAGTTCATGTGCTTGTTTATTCAGAAAAAAAATCACGAGATATGTAGGTCATAATTATTATTGTAGATCTTTAACAAAGCTGCCAAAACACATACTGGAGTAACATCTTTGTATATCTGGTTTTTAATCCTCTATCAGATGTAGAATTGACAAAGATTTTCTCCTACTTCCTGGGCTTCCTCTGCACTCAACTGATGCTTTCTTTGGTGTCCAGAATTTTTTTTAGCTTTGTGAGCTAAAAGGTTACATATATCTTCAACATTTCTATTACCTGTGCAAAAATAAAATCCAAATGGACCAAAAACCTCAATGTAAACTCTGAAACTGCTAGAAGAAAATATGGGCAGTCCTCTGTAAGCTACAGATACAGAAAATGACTTTCCAGATAGGACTTTGTTTTCCCATAAATTAATGCCAATAATTGACGAGTAAGACCTCATAAAGCTATAAAGAGTCTACACAGCAAAGAAAACCATCAGTCTAGTACAGAGAAAGTCTAGAAAGTTGGAGAAAAATCTTTGTCAACTCTGTATTTGATAGAGGATTAATAATATGAATATGCAAGGAATTAAAAACATAACAATCAAGAAAACAACACAATCCAAAAATTTGGAAGTTTACAAAATAATATTCTTTATTTAACTTCACGGTTGTCATTTTAAAACCACAGGGTAAGTGAACAGCAAAAATATACTGACCGGACTCGATGTTACAGCTTAGAGTCCAAAGCCATGCCGGTAAGAAAACTCTCCTTTCAGAGGCCCTAATACAAAGCCTTGAGCTGACAGAAAAAGCTGTTCACATTGAGAAATAATCTGCTTTATTCAGTGAGGGCAAATGCTAATTACCGCCTCACATCATCCAAGGCTTACTTATACTGGTATTGGAGCAAATATCTGAGAATCACATTGTAAATGAGGTGACACATTAAATTAGCCATCTTCTTTGGCATTATTTATTGTAAAAGAGCTCAGCCAGAAGTAGAGACACTGGCAGTGGACAGCAGTAGATCAACGTTGGTATCAAATCTTCAAACTTTCTGGGAAAAAAGAACCACAGAGAGGGGAGAGAGAAAATACTCTTATGTTCGTAAATCAATGAACTGATCCAATGATGGAGTCACAAAGTGCAGGGAAATAAGTTGGGAGTGAAAGATAAATAAATATGGTATAAATAAAGATTCTCAGGGGGAAGCTGTGGCTATGGCTGAAAGGCAGAACACTAGAATTCTACATGGCTCTGGTTTCTACTCTCACAATTAGAAACAATGTTTTCTAGGGCAGCATGTTATCCAGCATGATCTCATTCCCCCCACACAGGACACTCCACTCACAAACGGCAATTGCTGGCCTCAGAGGATTGAAACACAGATCTAATAACCTATAAGTATGAAAGACCCATCCAAGTAGAGGATACTGCCACAATAAAAATACCTCAAGCAGTTTTATTGTCTGTGCCACTTTGTCATTGTTTCTCTAAATGCGCTTTGTTCTAACTATAGTTACAGGTAGCTGTTACTGAAAATGGACAAAGACTTGAAAAGTTATGCAGTCAATAGTTTCAATATTAGCAGGTAACTACTTAAGTATGAATACAACTGAAAAATAATTTTCAATATCTGATTTTGTCTGGATTTTTGTTATATATGAAATGTATAACTTATTATGAATGTATATTTTAATTTCTGATGTATGAATACTCATCCTATACAATTACTACCAAATTTCAAGTCTGGTTATATATCATAACATGTATTTCATTTATCAATGTACAGTTTCCTTTTACATACTATGACTATGGTATGTCATTACTATACAGCATGTGATAGATTAGCTGACATTACTAAGCAAATTGTTTTTTACTAAGCTGTCTCTTCACAGCACCCTTAATCTCATTGTTCCTGAGGCTGTAAATGAGGGGGTTCAACATGGGGATCACCACCATGTAGAACACAGACACCACCTTGTTCTGGTCCGTGGAGTAGGGGGACTTGGGCATCACATAAATGAATGTGATGGTCCCATAGAACAGAGTGACTGCAGTGAGGTGGGAGGTGCAGGTGGAGAAGGCCTTGTGGCGGCCCTCAGTGGAGCGCATCTTCAGGATGGTGATGAGGATGTAGGTGTAGGAGACAGCAATGACAAACACTCTGATAACAATGATAGATCCAGCAGAAAATGAATCAAGAACTATGAGTACACTGTTATCAGAGCAGGAGAGCTCCACCAAAGGAGCAAAATCACAGAAAAAGTGATTGATTCTGTTTGGTCCACAGATGAAAAAAGAAAAGAAGGAAAGGGTGAAGGAGGAAGCATTAAGAAAACCCCCTATATAAGATCCTACAACCAACTGGATACAGACTTGTGAGGACATTTTGGTGGAATAAAGATTGCAGATTGCCACAAAACGATCATAAGCCATGGCAGCTAAAATAAATGACTCAGTTGATCCAAAGAAAGCAGCTGAGCCAAGCTGGATGGCACATCCAAAGTAAGAAATTGTGTTTCTCTCCACCAGGAAGTTGACAAGCATATTGGGTGTGACAGAAGATGAAATGCCTATGTCAACAGAAGCCAAGTGGCTGAGAAAAAAGTACATGGGTGATGGAGCTGGGAAGAGACTCTGATAAGAAGGATTGTGCTGAGGTTCCCAGACATGGTCACCAGGTAGATGCACAGGATGATGGTGAAGAGGACGAGTCTAAGAACTGGGTCATCAGTTAATCCTAATAAAATGAACTCTGTCACTGCAGTGTGGTTCCCATCCTCCTGGAAAGCCATGGGACAGTGTAGCTGCTGCTAAGTCAATGCTCACACACACATTTTCACAGAACAAAATATTCTCCAATGGTAGAGGTAAATCAGGACACTCACCTTCTGAAATAAGGATTCATTTTAAAGTAAGAAAGTCAAGATGATTACAGCATGATTTGATAGTGTTCTAGCTGTCTCCCACAATCATTGTTTACTATTGAAAATAAATCTCTGAAGAGTCTTGGGATTCACACATTTGATTTATCAAATCCCCACGGTCCATTATCTCAGGTGAAAAAGAGCTGTCATTTCACATGAATACAAATTTCAAGGAGTCAATCTGAATCTTTTGTTTTTATTTGAAAATTGGTGCACTTTCATTTGATAATTATTGGAAGTATATGATAACAAAAATTACCTCAGCTAAGTGTTGTGTCTAGATTTATTTTATGTTTCATGTTAGTGGATGCTGATATAAAAAAAATAAAAAATGGCTTTCTTCATTTATTATCTTTTCATTTGTGTAAGTTTTTTTTTTTTTTTTTGTAGTGAGTGATGTAATACTCTTCATTAGGTACCATAGGAATATGTGGATGGAGGAGAGTAAAGCTGATTTAAAGAACAAAACAATTATTTAAGAAACATAATTTTCACAGCCAAGGATATAAAATACTGATGTATAGAAAACTGAGAGTTAAAACACACACACACACACACACACACACATACACACACACACACACACACATCTGGTCTTCAAATAAGAATTGGTATTTCACAATTCACACAACAAACAGATTTTGGATTTTGATGGAGGATGGTAAAAACATTGTTCTTAAGTTTGAAGACTCAGGCCGACTTCTACTAATCTAAATTTTATGGAGTCTTTTTCTCCATCTTTGATTCCCCTTTGATGACCTCTGAGGAATAAACAATTTTCAGAACTCTTCTGCCCAAGCTCTCTTGTTTTGATTTCCTGAGTATAGTGATTCTTACAAATCTTCACAATCACTGCAGGGATCATGAAAAAATATATGACACTATTTTAACATATCCTTCTTTCACAGAGTCTTGGAGCTCTTAGCCAGGATGTTCTTCTGCTTTGCAGCCACTGGAAATACAGTCTACAAGACAAAGGTGACTGTGCTCTTCAAAGAGAATTGTCTGTTGTAAGTGTTGACATCATGGACTTTTAAGTTATGAAGCTCTATATGATTTAAAATTTCACTTTCTTTTACTGAATATATTTTACTTATTTATTACTTCTTTAGTGAATGTTTGCATGTTGATTAAGTTTTGTATCTTAAATCCTAGTGGTTTTATTTCTTTTGTACACTTTTTGGTTTTTTTGTTTAGTACACTTGGTTTTCATTTGGTGGACCAATATTTTTCTCTGTGTTTGACAGGGATATTCAGTTACTCAATTAGTCCTGATATAACACTTGTTCTTGACTGTATTAGATCCAGGTACAAGGACTGAGATTCCCTTTCCTTCTGTGACTGCCACATGTGCAAGGCTTGTTTGCTAATAGTTTCTCTATATTTGGAGATATCTATGATTTCTATTGATTAGATATCTCCCAAGGACATACCCGGGTTTATGATTCTTTCCTCTCTCATCCCCCATCTCTTTTTAAATTTAACTCAATTTTGTAGCATTTTCTTCTGAATTGTCAAATACTATCATTGAAAAGAAAAGTGTATTTCTTACTGTAGGGGGTAAAGTCAGGAAGTCTCCTTCCTCCTACTTTTATGTGGGTTCTGGGAAATGAACTCAAGCCATCAGAGTTTTATGGTAAGGGCTTAAACTTGCCAGCACATCTTACTGACATCAGATATAATAAAAAGTTTTAGGTATACTTCCCTGATTTGTCACTTTCTGAGGATGTTTACAGAACACTTACTCTGTGAACTGTAATTTAATGTTGAAGATATTAATGATATTAAATTAAAGATATTAATGTTGAAGAACAAGTTGTCACCTGTTCCAGTTGTGTGCACCACGTGGCTGATTAAAGTGAACAACTCTGTCTTTATTTCAACTGAAGCCTCAAAGTACATGAACGCAACATTGTGCTCACACAACTCACTCACTCACTCACTGACTCACTCACTCACTAACTCACTACTTTATTTGACTTGTTCCTCACATCCTGAAATCTTCTCTCAGGCAGTATGTTCTCAGTGAGATCTGTACTGTACTGTCTTTGCCTCTGCACATCAACCTAGCACACATGATCTTGGTTTTTGTTGATTTTTTTTAACTTTATTTATTTTATTTTATTTTTCTTTATTAATTACACTTTATTCACTTTGTATCTCCCCCCCGTGGTTTCCTCACTCTTCCTGTCCCAATCCCTCCCTTCCTCCACCCTCTGCATCCATGCCACTCCCCAAGTTCACTGATAAGGGAGGATTTCTTTTCCTTCCTTCTGATCCTAGTCAATTAGGTCTCATCATGAGTGGCTGCGTTGTCTTCTTCTGTGGCCTGGTAATGCTGCTTCCCCCTCAGGGGGAGGTAATTAAAGAGCAGGCCAATCAGTTCATGTCAGAGACAGTCAGAGACAGTTTGGAAGTAAGACCTAATTATTGTTTGGATTTCTTCAGTGTCTGTGGTTACGTCCCCCTTTTCGTTTCTGATTTTGTTGATTTGGATAGTTTCTCTCTGCCTTTTAGTTAGTTTGGCTAAGGGTTTGTCTATCTTGTTGATTTTCTCAAAGAATCAGCTCTTGGTTTCATTGATTCTTTGAATTGTTTTTATTTGTTTCTAATTTATTGATTTCAGCCCTGAGTTTGATTATTTCCAGCCGTTTATTCCTCTTTGGCATGTCTGCTTCCTTTTTTTCTAGGGCTTTTAAGTGAGCCATTAAGTTGCCTGCATGAGATGTTTCGAATTTCTTTTTGAAGGCACTTAGTGCTATGAACTTTCCTCTTATAACTGCTTTCATTGTGTCCCATAAGTTTGGGTATGTTGTGCCTTCATTTTCATTGAATTCTAGGAAGTCTTTAATTTCTTTCTTTATTTCTTCTCTGACCCAGCTGTCATTTAGAAGCAAGTTGTTCAGTTTCCATGTGTGTGTAGGCCTTTTGCTATTTTTTTTTAAATCTTTTATTTATTTTTTATTAATTACACTTTATTCATTTTGTATCCCCCCATAAGCCCCTCCCTCCTCCCCTGCCAATCCCACCCTCCCTCCCCTTTCTGCATGCATGCCACTCCCCAAGTCCACTGATAGGGGAGGTCCTCCTCTCCTTCTTTCTGATCTTAGTCTATCAGTTCTCATCAAAAGTGGCTGCATTGTCCTCTACTGTGGCCTGGTAAGGCTGCTCCCCCCCCAGGGGGAAGTGATCAAAGAGCAGGCCAATCAGATTATGTCAGAGGCAGTCCCTCTTCCCATTACTATGTAACCCACTTGGACACTGAACTGCCATGGGCTACACCTGTGCAGGGGTTCCAGGTCATCTCCACAAATAGTCCTTGGTTGGAGTATGAGTCTCTGGGAAGTTCCCTGTGTTCAAATTATCTTGTTCTGTTGCTCTGCTTGTGGAGTTCCCGTTCCCTCCAGCTCTTACTATTTCCCACTTCTTACATAAAATTCCATTCACTCTGCCCATCAGTTGGCCATCAGGCTCAGCATCTGCTTTGACAGTCTATACTGCAGAAGCTTTCAGAGGCCCTCTGTGGCAGGTTTCAAGGTGGTTTCCTGTTTTCTTCTGGCTTTCAGAGGCCCTCTGTAGTGGGTTCCGAGGTTGTTTCCTATTTTCGTTTTCTTCTGATGTCCATCCTCTTTGCCTTTCAGGATGGGGATTGAACATTTTAGTTAGGGTCCTCTCTTTTGCTTAGTTTGTTTAGATGTACAGCTTTTAGTGGGTTTATTCCATATTGTATGTTTATATGAGTGAGTATATACCGTGAGTGTCTTTTTGCTTCTGGGTCAACTCACTCAGGATGATCCTTTCCAGGTCCCACCATTTACCTGCAAATTTCATGATTTCCTTATTTTTCATTGCTGAGTAATACTCCATTGTATAGATGTACCACAGTTTCTGCATCCATTCTTCAGTTGAGGGGCATCTGGGTTGTTTCCAGCTTCTGGCTATTACAAATAAAGCTGCTACAAACATGGTTGAACAAATGTCCTTGTTGTGTACTTGCGCCTCTTTTGGGTATATGCCTAGGAGTGGTATGGCTGGATCTTGAGGAAGCGCTATTCCTAGTTGTCTGAGAAAGCGCCAGATTGATTTCCAGAGTGGTTGTACCAGTTTACATTCCCACCAGCAGTGGAGAAGCGTTCCCCTTTCTCCACAACCTCTCCAGCATGTGTTGTCCCTTGAGATTTTCATCTTGGCCATTCTGATGGGTGTAAGGTGAAATCTCAGGGTTGTTTTGATTTGCATTTCCCTAATGGCTAATGAGGTTGAGCATTTCTTTAAGTGCTTCTCTGCCATTCGATATTCCTCTGCAGAGAATTCTCTCTTTAGCTCTGTTCCCCATTTTTTAAGTGGATTACTTGGTTTGTTGCTTTTCAGCTTGTTTAGTTCTTTATATATATTGGATATGAGTCCTCTGTCAGATAGAGGGTTGGTGATGATTCTTTCCCAATCTGTAGGCAGTCGCTTTGTTTTGATGACGGTGTCCTTTGCTTTACAGAAGCTTTTCAATTTCATGAGGTCCCATTTATTGATTGTTGCTCTTAGAGCCTGTGCTGTTGGTGTTCTGTTCAGGAAGTTTTCTCCTGTACCAATGAGTTCTAGGGTATTCCCCACTTTTTTTTCTAGCCGATTTAATGTGTCTGGTTTTATGTTGAGGTCTTTGATCCACTTGGACTTCAGTTTTGTGCAGGGTGATAAGTATGGATCTATTTTCATTTTTCTACATGTAGACATCCAGTTGGACCAGCACCATTTGTTGATGATGGTATCTTTTTTCCATTGTATGGTTTTGGCATCTTTGTCAAAAATCAGGTGTCCGTAAGTGTGTGGGTTTATTTCTGGGTCTTCTGTTCGATTCCATTGATCCACCATTC